GGGGGGACATTAGGGGACTCAAGGGAAGGGAGGTATACTCTTGGCTGCATTTGTGCAGTGAGGCATGACGAACGCATACTGCAACTTTAATGCGTACGTACAACACTACTACTTGTGTACAGGCATGGGACCATGTGCACACGTGCACGCTTATTTTATTTTATTTTTTTGACAAAAACTGCAGAGGGAAGATCCCATGATGAATGCATAAAGAGTTCATCCTGATTCCTTATCCTCATCAAAGGCTTCCCCTGGCGACCCTGGTTCATTTGGCATGATATTATAAGATCGCAAGAGGCCATTGGCAATGTGACTGGACGAGGACGGAACTTGAAACATTTCATGGATGCCGTGGTCGTCGGATCCCGAAGAAACGGTGCCATTTACAGGCAGTTCCCGTTCAGTTCTCATTGAACTGAAAGGGACGAAACATCCAGGACCAGGCCACTAGTAGGGCGGTCACGTTCTCGCCCGCATGCGATTTCGTGCGATGGGGAAAAGGAATGTGCAAGCCACACCAGAATTAGTCCAAGTGAATACTATGTACAGTAGCTCGCGCCACACTTACACCAGGAACCCATGCCAATTGCACAGCGGAACTGAAATTGGGAGGAGGACCGGGACGGGAGTTAAAGACAGCAAGTGCGGCTCCGCTTCTGCTTCGAGCCCGCTGAGGCTTCGGTCGGCGCCAGGAGCTTTCGAAATTCCCGAAACCATCACAACGAGGCCCATGAGGCATGAGCCAACCAACGGAAGCTTCTTCCATTCCATTCGCAACCTCGCCGAATTCGGCCGGGATCGACACTTATCGCATCGAGATCGCTCCTTTTTCCCCTGTGTGATCTGTTACCTTGTCGGGCCTGTCTTTCCGCTTGTCTTGCTCCGTCATGCCGGTTTACTGCCCTCACTGCTCCCCGTTACATACCGTGACTCCGAAGAGACAAATTTAACAAAAAAAGAAAAACAAAAAGAAAAAAAAGTCGAATTAAGGGTTCACGAGATTTTGACACAGCGCACAAGAGTTGCATGCCTTCGTCACTGCAGCGCCCCTGCCCCTGTCCCCGTCCGCTCGATGCTGGTCTAGAGTCAACGAGAACGACAAGAAACAAGCAGCTGTGCAAACACACAAAAGTTACATGGACCTTGATGGCCTGCCGGCCTTGAGGTTTTGGGGGGGAAAATTGGAGATTGCCAGGAACATCAAGAAGCTTGACGTTCGCAATTGGCAGGAATCCCAAACCTTGGCAGAAGGGTAGGTCCCGACCGGCATGGAGCCCCGCAGCATCCTCATTGGCGGCAACCTGATTGGGAATATGATAACATCATTCTCTTGGACCTAATTGCACTGCGACAAACTCTCGACTGTTTCCGGAACCGATCGACCAGTGCTTCCGCTGTGGTGGACAGTGATAGACAGGGCGACGGGAGCGGATAGACGAGTACCTAGTCGAAGCATCTCAGCATGTGCCCTGGTCGACACTGGCACCATTAGGTTCATTGCCCGTGAAGTCCGTGTTGAGACAGGGCCTGGCAGTTGGCCGGCTTGGGATTTAAATTTGTCAAGATGCTCTACCAGACATGCCCTGCTCTGCCGCGGGCGGACAAGGAAAGCGAGCGGAGACGATAGCGGATGGACATTGAGCAAAAGTCATCACAAGCTGGATGGACGGGCACAACCGGCAGGGCGGGTAATTTTCTACGTTCGGCAGGTTGTTGCTCTAGTCGGCGGGCCATGCCATGCCATGCCCTCCCACACCTCTCCATTCAGTCCAATGTCAACCAGAGCACCGGGCACTAGAGACTGGATAGAAACCCGTGGATACGTATAACGCGCATCTTGGCAGCAAGAAGAAAAAAGCAAATGTTTTTCAATATTCGTCCTAGTGAAAATCTTCCATCGAGCCATTTCTCTTGTTTGCCGTCTTCCATGGTCCATCAAGCTGCTCTGTTTGTTCAGAACCGCAACAAGGAGAATTCGGCCAATCTCAGCCGCGGATTGACAACTCTGTCTGGGAGCGACTACTACGTACCTACACTGCCATCCTAGGTAGACGACTACCTGGACAACTACCTCCAAGATCATCACACCCGCCAAAACCCCATCCATCTTCGCATACACTACATCGATACTGACCATCCGGGTCCTCGTCGTCGATTCGCATCGCATCGCATCGCATCGCATCTCATCGCAACCGCAACCGCAATTCCGGGTGTCTAGCCAAAAAAAAAAAAAAAACGCGACCTTTCCACATCTCCAATATCCATGATCCCGGGAATTGGATCCGATTGATCGAGAACGGCCCCCCCGCTCCAAGCTCAGCTGTCCAATTCGCAATCCCGGTTTTTGCTGTTTTTTTTTTGTTTTTTTTTTTGCTTCCCTCTCTTTTCCACTGCTCCAGTCAGCTCCTTATCGTCATTGACAGCGCCCTCAATCTGCTGGCCCCGGTGCCACTGCCCGGCCTGACCGACGCCGCCAAGGCCCGTTAACGAGCATCGTCCGATACCCGAATGGACCCCCGCCAGACGCTCACCTGTCGTCCCCCAAGTCTCCAGTCCTTCTTTAATTGACGTCCTCCCTCGGCGCATCGGACGGCCTGCGAGTGCCTGTGACGAACTGCACGGCCGGCCACCTGGCTCATATGAGACGGCGTTCCTCCAGAGCCCTGGAGCCCAAGACCTCTGATTCATCCATCCACTATCTAATCACTAGTATACATATACACCAATTGGTGCCCCGCGGCCGGTACCTGGAACCTGGACCTGGATCTGTTCTGTCCCTATGCCTGTCTTGTGGTGTCCTGGATGCTGAAAGCACATTGCACATTAGCGAGATTGTCCCAGTCTCGCTTCAAGAACTAAAGAAAGAAACGAGCAAGGAAGCCAATTCTGGAACAACACAACAAACCCGCCCACGCACCCCCCCTTTTGGCGGTCAAAGATACCACAAGCAAGGAGCCAAACAGCTGGAGCCGCCAAAGCTCCTTCTTTTGTGGCCCAATATCAAAAACACGAAGCCAAAACGGATACCCAATATCCCTTATTACATATCGCTGTCATTACTGTCGCCCGCTTCCCGTGCTGCCTCCGTTACCGCCGTTACAACCCCCCTTCAAGCCCTAGTC